CACATGCAGGAAGGGTCTGTACAAATCACCCTTTTCTGTGGGTTTTGTGGTACTGGGCTATAGAAGCAGATGCTATGAGACAATAAATGGGAGGGCAGCCGTTTCAAGGATGGTACATATAGTGGGGGAGAAAAAATGTCAGCTTGCTAGGGAGCTGGGTGCAGACTCTCTGTGGAGAAATCAGATCACATGCTAGAATATGACAACATGGAGAGGGCCAGACAAATGGATAACAATTCTTATTAACCAAGGTGGTAACCGAAGGGAAAAATAAAACTAGGAAGAGAAAGGAAAAGTGTGGGTGGAGAGCTGAAGCCCAACCTGTTCACTGAGCCCCATTCTGCGTGTACTAGGCACGTCGAGACATCCAAGGTCACGCTGTGACTGCAGCTGCTGAATACAGGAGGCAGCAAATCCAGACCCTTAACAGAAAGATGCAGCACAGTGAGCAGTGGATCCAAGGGGAAAACCTATATTGGCTCTTGGTGACTGCAGGAAATTGCGACCTGGGGCCACGTGAAGTAGCCAAAGCCATCTGACTATGCTGGAGGAGACTTCAAGAAGCTCCTGGGCTCTGAAACTGGACACCATGCAGTTTTCTGACCGATAACGTGCTGTGCTGGGAATGCAGTGAAGACACACAGCGCAGTGTGCAGTGGACCCAAGAGGAAGATCTGCATTGATTCCCAGTGAGTACTAGGGACTGGATCCTGTGGCTGTTGTTGCTGGCTGGAGGACATCTTAGAATTGGGCAGAGCCTGGCACCATGGCGGTGTCATTGACACAGAGAGGACTGGTGGAGGACATCTTGGAGTTGGACAGAGCCTGGCAACATGGTGACATCAGATAGTCACCCCTGGCACAGAGAGGTCTGGTGGAGGACAGCTTGGATTTGTGCAGAACCCTGCACTGTGGTGACATCAGTCAGCCAATCCTGGTGCAGAGAGAACTGGCAGGGTCTGCTGGGGCTGAACTGTCCCACTGGTTGGAACCCAATAAGCAGCTACAAAATTGTCATGACTCTGTGACATTCACAAGGTACAACTTAACTTGCAGATTGACTGGCACAGAGGCTGGAGGCTAGCCTGTACTGTCCTTGCATCCATGTGTGTACCTCAGATAACAACAAATTGGGGATGGCAGCAAAAACTCTAGTCAGCACACTTCAGAAAGACCCTAAGCAATAAGGAGAGGGCCAGAGACCCCCAGGACACACCAGTCTGAAAGAAACCAGACACAAGGCAAGAGATAGAAATTTTAAAAATCTCCAGCTGCCGAACATGGGAAAATAAGCCCAAGAAAAGTAAATACAGAAGAGAACCAGCACAGTAACCATCCAATACTAGACACAACATCAGCCAATATAAAGAAATACCTTCATGACCTCATAGACAAATTTACAACTGTACTTCTGATCCAAGTGAGGCAAGATATAAAGTGATTAACTAAAGAAATGATAACCTCCTCCCAAGAGAACACAGATGGAAGAATGGAGGAACTCAGAAAAGCAAGAGAAACCTCTGATGAAGAATTTAAACATAACCTAGAATACATGAAACAGATCCAAAAAGATTACCAGGAAACAAAACTCCACTGAAAACTGGCAAAATGCCTTGACAGAAACTAAAGTTAGCCTTTTGAAACTTGAAGAGAGATTTATGATATATGATCATGAAAGAAAAGACCTCTTAAAAATAACGAGGAACCAGAAAGAAACAATCAAAAGGCTAGAAGATGACAAAAAGATACATAACTTTTTTTTTTGTCTTTTTCCTTTTTTTATCGATACCAGGGATTGAACTCATGACTGGCTGCTTGTAAGGCAGGTGCTTATGCCGCTGAGCTAAATTCCCAGCCCCAAGGATACATATCTTAAGAATAAAGCATGTGAGCGAGGAAGCAGGAGTAACCAAAAATGAACTACAAAAAATATTCACAGATATATTAAAGAAAAACTTCCCAAGCATAGTAAAAAGAAGTGACATCCAGATAAATGAGGCATAACTCCAGACACCACAACCTAAACAGATCTACACCTAGACATATAATAATCGAGATTTCAGAAATCCACCAAAAGGAAAGAATACTAAAAGCAGCCAGGGAAATGAAGCAGATTACTTACAATGGGAAAATTATCAAAATAACAACAAACTTATCAACACAAACTCTCAAATTGAGAAGAGCCTGTGGAGAAGTTATCCAAGCCCTGAAAGAAAATAATTTGCAACCAAGACTGATGTACCCAGAAAAACTCTCTCTCAAATTTAATGGAGAAATAAGATGTTTCCAAGACAAGGAGGAACTGTGGGAGTTCATGGCCACCAACCCAACCCTACAGAGAGTGCTGAAGACATTCCAGAGAGAGAGAGGAAGGGATACCAGGATTCCAGCAACAGTGGCAGAGAGGCCTCAATGAATGGGGCAGACAGTGGAATGAGGGAGTAAGGTGGACAAATTAATGCAGTGAAGTGGAGTAGCAGACATGAGGCAGAGACGGTAAGCTAGAATCTTTAATATAGATAGCCTTGATACATTAAAATAAAAAAACAAGCAGAATAGATTAGGAGACAGGCTCCCTCAACCTGAAGGAGGGTTAATAAACTGAAAGATGAGAAAGCAAAGCTATATGTGACAGGAAATCAGAGAGAAATAGGGACACCTCTTCCAGCAGCCGCAGATAGATTGGAAAGCTATGACACTTTTGGGCAGTGTAGAACTACACAGCTGGAAGGAAGGCAAACCCTATGACTTTAGTGAGTAAAGGAGCACAGCTCAAGATCAAGCTCAGGGGTAAAAGGTTCAGCAGCACTCAGATAGACAACCGGCTGGCCCCCTAATCTAAAAACTAAAAGAGCTAGTGAGACCCAAAACATACATAGCATCCTGAGAAGGGGAAAGGTGAAAAATAGCTTAAAAGGGGAAGGCAGAGGTCATTGTTAATAGTGTATCAGGATTTAAAAGTCACAGTAGTCTTATCGCTTTGTTTAGTTTGATTTTATTTTGTTCTGGTCTATCCACTCATAACAGATTTGAGTGCACAGACAGCTAACCCAAAAATAGCAAGTTGTACCATGGTAACTATCCTTAATTTCCTATTAACTTAAACTGAAACCCTGTATTACTTGCATTGTCTTACTATGACTGATCTTATTTGAATCTGGTTTGTTAGACCACGGTTTTGCCTTGGCTGATTTTATTCGAATTTAGTATGCTTGATAGTATCAAGTCTAAAAGTAGAGAAAACTACTCTGAAGATGACAAGATGTAAAATATAACCATACTGGTTCTGATTATTAATGGCTCTTAAGTCCTACTGTATTTTCAAAGTTGTGTTTTTATAAGAATAGCTATGTAATACTATGCTTAAATATATTAAGCCTGATGATGTGGACAAGTCTATTGAAAATAAAAAGAGAAAGCATAGTAACTATGGTGGATCACCTAATATTGTGGTCTTGTGTGTCCTTTTCATTGCTTTTTTTCTAGGAGTTTGTTTTGCTGTCTTGTTATGATATGTTTTTCCCTATAATACAGAGAGGATAGATATACATGTAGAAATTCACACATGGGAAGAATTTTTTAAACTATTGAAAGGAACAGATTATATAATGCAAAATGTAATGAACAGATACTCTGAAGAAGAGACACTAAGAAAACCAATGCTAATTCTGTAGCATTATGATATAAAATTTAGCAATACTATTATTCACTGTTCAGAGTAACATTAGTCTAGTCTCTTAAGTTCAATTTCAGCATACGTAAAGATAAAGACAGCTACTACAAAGAGAATGAGAGACACTATGGTAGTCATTATTATCTTCCCCAATGTCAGATCTTAAAGACCTAAAAAGCCTTCATGATCCTGTAATGATTTGATTAGCTCTATAATATGCAGTATGTATTCAATGTGTGCAAAGATAGGTACAACTATTTGGAAGAAAACTAGAGACAATAAGATAGTCAGTGAAGATCTCCAGTGGACTTGCTTTGAAATGCTTAAATTGTTTCTTTTTGAATTTTTTATTCTGTTTTGATATGTTTATTCTTACCCTCTTTAAGATAAAAAACAAGTGTGTAGGACTGATAACCACATTACTAAGTTTTTGTTGAATCATTGAGCAGAACTGTTGGCAGTGTCACTATTTGAATGTCACTTTACATACGTTAATTTTGTGACTTGAACAGCTATTTCTAAGATGACAATATGTAACTTATCAACGGGTGATTTCTTACTATTTATTTTTCTGTAATTATGTATTATTCTACCGTTCTTTTTCTTTTCTCCATTTTTTGTCTCTTTCTTTTTAAATAAAAGTGGCCAAAGTAGTATTTTAAAAAAGGATGGAACATATGTCAGACATTAAAAACTAGTAGAAATGAAGCCTCAGAGGAAAAACGGGAGGATGATTGCAGGAGGGAGGTGGATGGCAGTGAAGTATACTTTGAATAAAACACAGCCTTTTGACAGCGATTGAAATGTGGAAGTATTTAGGAAATCGTTGATTGAAAAGTAATCCCTTCTCTGTTTGGAAAGTGCACAGAGGCGGCTGGGCAGTGCTGGGGGGCACGTGATCACAGTTGGAATGTTGGAAAGAGAAGATGTGTATTTCCAAAGATAACAGCATTGAAGGCCATCCACTTTGACCAGCTTGTCAACTTATATAGCTCTTTCTCTTGGCAATAGACCCCTATAACTTTTGTTCTTGAGAAATTTTGAAGTATTGTACTTACATTTTAGCGGAAGCTTGGTTTATCAAACTGGAAGACAGTGGTAAAGAAATAGTGAAGTAGCATGAAAGAAATCATAGCACTTTTGATCAATAACCTGGGTTTTTCTCCCTGACTGTCTTTCTAGAAATGTGTTTTATGCCTAGAGACTCTTGGGATGTTATCTGAGCACACATTCTGACTTCATATTCCATTGGAGTTTCTGGGTGGAGTCTCCCCCACCCCCACATACCCATTGCAGTAACATTGATTGCTGTCTAAATCTGTTGCAGTGTGCCTGAATACTATGAGTACGGTCATGGAGTAAATGAGGATGCCTATGACAGCTACGGTAAGACCTTTTCTTTGCTAAAATAGAGAAATCTGTACATCCATCAGTCACTGACAACTCAGAAGTGACTTTCTGATGAAAGTGACTTTCCCCCCCACCCGCCAGTTTTCACAGAAGTCCAAGATGAATTGATTTACGTAATTCCAGGGTAAGATTTGACTTACGGAGCCAGTGCCTTCAAATGGGACAGATCAATTTTGATCAAAATTTCAAAAGCAATTAATCACAATCATACATCATTTTCAACAGCCACTGTGAGTGTTCTGAATAGTGTCTTCCATGTTCCACATCCTTTGCCTGAGTAATTAATTTGATGACAACACTATCTTTTTTGTGTCACAAAGATCATAAAGTAATACACCTTTAAAGTATTTAAGACTTTAAAGTCCAGAAATTGTTATTAAAACATAACTTTTAAATTATTTAAATTATTTTTCTAGCATGTCTTGATCTTAAAAGTGCCCAATAATGCTTGGCCTATGAGAATAATCAATAAGCTCTTCATGCCATGAAATTAGTTAATTTTAAAATGTATTATTCAACTAAACATACCGCTTTAATCATAAGTTCATCCAATACAGATGTATCGAGTCTATGAGATCTTGATATAGTCCATGATTTCTGAGTAGTATCTGGTTCTTTAAGATGCACACCAGATGACCACCACTGAAAAATGATACTTTCAGAAATATTTGCCTTCATGGATTTTTATTAAAATTGTACTCAGAATCCTGTTCTCTTTAATGATGATGAATGCTGCCTGTTTGTTCAGGGCCCTGTAGGAGGCTGTAGTGCTGCAGGAGGGAGGACAAGGGGAAGTGATGGGAGCAGAAAAACAGGCTTTTTCTGGAACCAAGTAACACAAGGGGAGTCCAGCAGCAAGACAGAAACACCACCATCACCATCCTTGCCAGTCACAGGCTGATTATTTAATACTTTCTCCTGTATTTTCTTATAATGAGCTGATACAGGAAGTGCTTTATCTCCATCTTTAAGAGGAAGCTGAACACAAGGATGCATACCTGTGTGAGCACAGCTGCAGGGCTCAGCCCCTGCTGTTCCATACTCACCAGTGGTTGGGTATTCTACACCACTCCACTCCACTGTCACCCCACCTGGAGTTTATTATGGCCCTGAGCCATGAGATAAGATGAGGATTAGAGGTGATACAAATAACCTGTAATGGAAACCATAGCAGGCTGGGACAATAACTCAGCAATAGAGCACTTGCTCAACTGCGTGAAGACCTGGGTTCAACCCCTCAAACTGCCAAAGATTATTACATGTGCATCTGACTGCATATGCTAATTCCCCTGTGCAATCCCAGACACTCACGTCATTATCTGCACTTTACAGATGAAGAATGAGGGCTCACAGTACAGATTAACTTGCCTCAGTTAAAAATTAGCTAGTGACAGAACAGGAAAGTGAATCCAAAAGTGTTCGATTGCTTAGATTTGTTTGTTTATTTTTTTACCAAAAGCAGGAGCAGAGTTTAGAGGATCTTAGAGCACAAGATCTGCTACTTTTAAATCTGAATTAGTTTAAAGGGAAGGATGTTCCTTTTAGGTATAGTTTTCTAAATGTTGTCAGGTGCTATTCCACTATTCTAATGGAAGAAAAGCCTTTTATACTGTTCTACCAGAAAAACAAGTAAAGAACTAATCAAAAATGATCACACAGCTCACCCTCAAATGAAACCTCTCCAGCACTCAGCAAATTAACCCAGTCTTTTGCTGCTGCAGGAGGTAGCAGTGTTCTCCAAATGAAACCTATTTTCAGAAACAAATTTTCAGAAAAGTAAACGATGGACAAGTTGGCACAGATCTGGCTCACTTGGTGAGCAACCACAGGAAGTAACAGCTTTAGCTCTGTTCTGTATATGTATTTCACTCATTGAAAGTAGAAAAGCCTGAGAGGTGAGATGATGTTTAATAAAAACTTTAGCATCCAAAACCCAGAGCTCAAGCAGTTAGCCACACCATAGCTCAAACAGTTTGAGGTGTGAGATTACCTAGCACCCCAACACATCCACCCCTTAACCCTGGAGCATCCTGAGTTAAAGACAGCAGTAACTATTTCTGTCATTCCAGTCACATTCTTAGCTGTGCAGGAGTCAGACTGTGTGCATTGTTCATTTAGTTGCTGAGGACAATAAATGAAATGAGACACAACCTGGGCTTTTCTTTAATTCATTTGTCTTTTGCACGTAGACAGTGCCAGGCTCTTGGAGCAGATTGATACACAGTGGACATCCTTACCTGGCTCCTGCTGGGTAGAGGTTTCCGTACTGTAAACTGCACCAAGTAAACCATATGAGTGTAGAATTTAGAATTTAGAAATCAGTACTCTAAACTTTTATAGTGTTCTGCAAGGTTAGAGAGCACTACACATTTAATACATAATTATTTAATCACTAACATAAGGCACTGTTCTTAATTCTGGAGACTACAGTGAAAAATCTCTTGAAGCTTATGTTTAAATGAGAACTATGATATTCTTCTAAAAACAGTTTTTAAAAATGGGATCTTCATTTTCAAATTAAAGTCAGTATTTTCTTTACTTAGTACATCAATTTAGTAAAATCCTGCTCCTGGGCTCTCCTTCACCTGAGGCCAAGTCCTGACATCTAGGGCAGAGATGAATCAATGATATCTGATGGACTAATCCATGAGAGATGGAATTTCCATTTCTTAATTATTTATATTTGGGAATGTTAATCCATGTGATGGAGAGGTAGAATAACATGTTTGGGAAACTGGCTTCTCTTCTGTAACTCCATGGGTCCTGAGCTTTTGTAGCTGCCTGGTTCTCCTGATGAACCAACATTCAAGAATATCCCACTTTAATTTAGAAGTTACAGCCTTCCATAAGCACTAGATATCACGTTGATCAAACTGCCAGCACACAATTCCTTATAAACAAATGAGGAAAATATAGAAAAGGATTTTACTGCCCCAGGTAAGAAGATATTAGTAGGCAGCAATTTGCTCACTAGTATTTCAGCTCAGTCATACAAAGAGTGTTGCAAGACTAGACAATGATATGTGTAAATACAGACCATTCTTTTATGTCTTTTGTTTAGCCTCTAGGAAAATCTGATGGCAATTTTTTCACCTTTACTCTTCATGTTCAACATGCCTTTTCTCTTTGTGGGAAAATATTAATATTCTAACTCTGTGCGCATTTTAATCTGGAAACTGAGTCCTAATTTTCATGTCAGGGAATAATTATTCAGGACAGAATGTAACAACTGACTTTGTTGAGGTTGAGGTCCTGTTCAGGAGACTGAGGCGAATAAGTCTCAAAGGTGTGTTGCTGCCTGTGTCAGGGTGCAGACCTCACAGCAAAGGATGCCGCATGTGCAGTGCTTGGAGTCAGGGAAAGAGCTGCGCCCCTGCAGATGTCCAAGGCCTGGGGTTCACCATGTCTAAGCACACTCTGCCCCGGGACAGGGAACGGACCTTTTCAGCAGAAGTGCCTCGTTTCCTGTCTCGGATGTCTGAAAATAACTCTTCCATGCTAGCCAGGCTTGGTGAGATAGCTGTCATCACAGCTCTCTGGAAGGGCAGGGTGGAGCATTGCGAGTACAGTGATCTGCCTAAAAAATGAGAAAGATAAAAAGTATAAAGGGCTGGGCATGCCACTTACTATGAGGGTACTGATTTCAATTCTGTACCACAATATACACATAAAACTCCTTTTTGTCATAGTTTAGAAATCTAAGCAGATATATAAATCTGATTAATCTAAAAATAAGATTTTTTTGTTACTCTAAAAACTAGTATACGTTCACTGTGGAAAATGTAAGTAAACAGAAAGAATGAAATTTAAATCACTCCAAATTACACTGCTGGATTTTTAGATTCTTTGCATTCATCATATTTTTGTCAATAGTTTTAATCTATTAATATGCACATTTTATTTAAAATGAGAGCACAGAACAAGCTACTTAAAATTTCTTTAAATGTTTCCTATCATTGAATTTCTTCCACTTTTCAGTCATTAGTATCATACCTTGACAAAATACAGTTTCATTTCCTTTGTATATGTTCTGACAATTCACCACTAATATGTTCATTTGGAAAAAGATACACATCCCTATATTCATAGCCAAAATATGAAAAAGTACTTGCATATTAACGCATATGATGATGAGATTTAAACTGGAGAATGTTCATGTTTTTATGCCCCATACAGACAGAGCAAGGATCAGCTTTGGTGACAAAAAGTAAAACTCAACATCGTCATCTTGACACCCAATTAGTACACCTTCTGGTGGTATCAGGTGCAGTGCAGTGGGTATTTAGGCGTTAGGTAGTCAGTAGCAGGTTGCTCATCCTGTGACAGCCAATTGCCCAAATAGTACAATTGCAGTGCACGTACAGATGGTGTGAGACCACTAGTGTCAGATGCAGATGATTTTCATGAATTCTGCATATTTCCTGTACTAACTAATATCATTGCATAGCTCCTGTCTAATGAGCTGTGCAATCTTTTACATCAGTGATGTTTATTCCAAAGTGCACACCTTGTATCTCTATTTCTCTGTTCACTCTCCTTCTGAATTAGTCACCTTTTGCTGTTGCCTTTTGATCATACCATGGATGTGGATGTTCAACTCCAAAGGAATGTCTATTTCTGCTAAAGGAACAGCCTCAGTTTCCAAGTTCCCGGCCACTTCCCAGACATGGACAGTTATCCGAAGAGCCTAGAGTCAGTTGTACCCACATCTGCTTGACCTGATTTTCATGGTAGAAAGAGCATGTGGCCTTGGGCACGGATGAGAGACCACTCTCCAGGAAAAACACAGGCCCTGGACTCGAAAAGTCATACATGGAATCTCTCTTAGAGGCTTCCTTCAGATGGCTTGAAAATTCAGCTTGACAATTTACTCTGATTTGTAATATAGTATAAGTACATTTATTGAGATGAGATCTTTCTATGTTAGGCTCAAACCTGTGGGCTCAAGTGACTCCTGCCTTGGAAGCGGGGACAAT